GAAGAAACGCACGATGAACATTCTTAACAAAGCACGAATTTTAGTTATAAAATTCAATGATTTGAAAACGTTGATCGTTTGTATGGCGATTCATCGTTAAATTATGGAACAAACTGAAAATGTATGACAGAAAAACAAAACACTAGATGTGTGTAAACAGTTAAAAACAGTCTTGCCAAAAAGATAATAGCTAAAAAATCACCTTTATAGGTGTAATAAATATGCAATGTCATAGTGTAAAACTGCAGAATTCTCTCTAACCATTGCTGCAAAATTCATAAAAATCGGTTAAGTATTTCCGGAGTTATTCGAATTTCAATTCTACCATGCTCCGAAATATACTTTCGGTTCGATGCTGGGCGCCTATTACCAAAAAATTAAAAACACCACAAAAATCGTCAATTTTTTCTTCATACAGCTACAGTGTTTATGTGTAAGTAAATATATTTTACATTGCATATGTGCATAAATCACATACAATCACACCTACATATCAAGCAACAAGAAATTGCATGCACCTCGAACTACCCTTTGTCCCTACAAGTATGCTATAATTTTCATACAACAGCAGACAATATGAAATGTCTGCGATTTTTGTGTGGTTTTTCATTTTCAGGTAATAGGCGACCAGAATCGAACAGGAGGTGTATTTCGGGCCATCGTTGAATTAAAATACAAATATCTCGGCAACTACTAAACCGTTTTTTTTAAAGTTTCCAGATATGGTTAGAGGAAATTCTGAAGTTTTATTACACACTGTCATTCCATATTTTTACAATTATAAAATTTTAAAATAAATTTTAAAAATATGATATGTTTTATGTGAAAATTATTTAGAACCCTAACTAAGTTTTCGAAATTAAATTTACCGTTTTCCTACCAATGACCAATTTTTTACTTCATTATACCTTACAGGATAGGAAAGACAGCCCGAAGACCCACTTTGTGGTCCCTGGTATTTTTTAAAGAATCCACGCCCAAAAATGTTGTTTCGAATATCAAACCTGGTACATGTTACGGAGCTAAAAGCCCGCAGTTTGCCAATTAGTTAAATTTTCTATCTACCTGTTCTGGATGCCTGGTAGGTTTGAGCAATTTCTGAATGAAAATATCCAGCTGATCCTGACATCGTTCATCAATTTGTTCCTCTACACTACCATTGTTTTAAGTACTATTAAGTAAATAGTGTATCTAGTTGAGTTATTTCTTTATGTACAAATAAACATATTTAAAGAAATGCTAAAAATGTGTTTTATTTATGGACGTCTAAAAAATTTGTTAGTGGGGGTTCACAATATTAGTTCCTTAGTAACAATATCGCCCAATGTCACAATAATGGCTCCCAATTAATTTGAAAAAAAATCCCAATAATTTGGTGCAATTTTGCGCAAATTTCACAAAAATACCAGGCGCCCAGAATGAAGTAGAAAGTTGCCCGCCAAAAAAATAAATTCGAAAAATTTTGGTCTGGCAACACCCTACCCGCGAAAAAAATTCGAGCGCCTAAAAGTATGCTACCAATTTCGTAATTTTTTGTACGGCATTGCCAGATGCAATTTTTTCCATTTTTATTTTTTTCGGGCTACTTTCTATTTTCTTCTGGGCGCCTGGTATTTTGGTGAAATTTGCGCAAAAAATGCATAAAACCAGGTGAATGAAAATTTGTGACGTCATCACACAAATTATGTCGCATGCGTAGGGACAAGTATACTTACCATATTTGTTGTATCCGTAAATAAAAACACATAGTATTTTTAGTAAATTTATTATTCTTTATTTTTAATTCAATATTCTTTGTAAAAAATATATACATACATTAAAAAATATATCAAATATAAGTTTTAAGAAGTAATTTTCTTAACAACTTAGCCCACTTATTTGGACTATATTCTATTGTAATCCTTCCTTGTGGAATTTTATGATTGAGAGATGAGGATAATTCCAAATTGATCGTTATCGGAGGGCCTGCCATATTTTCAAATAATTTGTATATCGTTTTCGACTGTCATCATACGGAAATTCGAACATATATAATTCATAAAAACCTGAAATGAAAAATAAAAGACTAATTAAAAATATATATAAGCATTAAATAATCTATACTAATAAAAGAGTAAAGTGATTGACTGACTGACTGATTTAACGATTCATCAACGCCCAGACGAAACGGCTGACGATAGAATCTTGAAATTTTGGGTGAGGGTCATTCTTGGTTCAAAGGTGACAGATAGGGCTGGGTTTTAGGAAATTCGTACTAGAACGGTCCGAAAATTTAAATTAACATTACCGTCGAAGTGTAGGATTGAGATATATACGTAGTTTTGGAATTTTTTACGTACACATAAAAGTACTAAATCGTACTATAATTGGAAACTTGTACTTAATGGTACCAAAAGCGGGCTTTGAGGAACGTTTTGGAAATTCGTACTAATGTGTACTAAACGGTACCAAATTTGTATTTGGGTTAACCTATAGAGCTGGAATCTTTAAATTTGATGTTAGAATCACTGTTGGGGTGTAGGGTTTGGCTTTGTAGAAAGTTTTGGAAATTCGTGCTAATGTGTACTAAATTTGGCAATCCTGAAATTTTGGCTGTTGGGATGTAGGATTGGGCTATGCTGGAGGTTCTGGAAATGTCTACTAATGTGTACTAAATGGCACTACATTTGTTACATTTTGGATTAAAAGCTAACCGTTAGAGCTGGAATCCTGAAATTGAGTAATAAGATTTCCATTGGAAGTTGTGGCAATTTATATTAATGTTTACTAACTGGCACTTAATTTGGATTTCGGGGAAGCTATATTTGAATTTTGGAAATTTTACACCAGTACAAAGGGTAAAAAATGACAACAAATTTTGTATAGGGCTAAATTTCTTTTGCGTTCAGAATTGGTGTGTAGGGTTGAGATATGGAGGTAGTTTTGGAAATAAGTACTATAAGAGAACATAGGTACTAAATGGTTCCAAAAGTGTTAATAATGTTTGGTATTGGGGTTTAAATAATTCTCACATTCGCTAACGAAGTAGCGGGTTTATGCTAGTTATTTTATAAATAAAACACAATCACCCCCCAATGTTATTGAAAATCTGATGATATGTTTCCATTGCCAAACCACAATATGCATATGTATAGGACAGCCTGGTCATTTCATATACACAATTGGAGGAGATAACTTTCTCGAACAACATAAATATATACCCATAGCCATAACGCATGAGTGGGATCGTAAATGTACTTGATTTGTCAAACATTCACGCGCAACTCTATTAACAATAAATGAATAACTGACAATATTTCTAATGGAATTTCTTACAAATTTTCGTATATTTTTGTTGTTGTAAATGCAAATGAAGCAAACGCACTTGGCGGAATAGAAATTAATTCATGTCCATACGTTAGCAAATACCGATCCAACAATTTTTTTATAATGTAGAACGTAGACATTTGTAGAACATTTAGTTTTCGTCCATAAAATTATATTTTTTTGCTTCATTGAAATCTCGCGAAACGCAACCGGCATTCTCCAAGAGCGACAAGATTGTAAATACATTTATTAGGTATGCAAATATTGATTTCAGCTACATAATTTTATATGTGCTACAAGAAGAAAAAAAGTAGACGAACAAAACATATTTTCGGCACCCAAACAATAATTTCTTATATCCGATTGAATATCTTTGCATGCCATGCCACGAGAATAGAATTTTATGAACGTTTTCCCTTCAAAAAATATATGGATGAGGCATTTTTATATTCAATGAAACCAAAAAGTCACAAATTACTTATCTCTCCCATTTTATATGCGAAATTTTTATATTAATTTGTAATTGCTTAAAATTATCCTAATTGAAAGACTTTGCATTCGACAATCGCTGATTGACATCCCTAAGTGCGTTTCATAGAAAATATTCATTATTAAAACCCAATGAAGGTGAGAAGCATTTACAAAGAGTAGAAAAAAGTCAGACTCAAAGAGGACTGGTTTTAAATACGCCGCATGCTTGCTACAACAAGTAAGCAAGACATGCCGTCAGACGGATAGACAGGCAGACAAAGCCGCAACAAGTGAACACCCAAACAGCAGCAGCAACAACAACAACAGGGATTTTTTAAATTGTTGTTTATATCAGATTATAAACGGCAACATATAGTCATACTCTCACAACAAAAACAACAACATCTTTAGCAAAAAAGAAAAAAATATACTGAAAACAAAAACAAGGTATATTGGAGTAGTGCAGAATTTTTGTGTTTATAAATTCGCATTTCATTTCAAAAGCAACTTTTTTACTTTACATTACAAATTCCAAAATTGAATAGCCAAGTCTCAGTTCATTCTGGATTCTTCAAGCGATCGCAAGTGCCAATACGCAATCAAGCATCTAAACACCACAGACATTAGGTATATTTTTTTTTAAATTAACGCTTTTTAGCCAAACACCGTGGGCCAGCTAGCCGTTAAGGCAGGTGCCAGCCCATTCAGAAGCTATTATTTCTTTTGTAAGCGGAACAATTAAATATTGCAAATTTCGTGTTTCTTCTTCTATTTTTCTCTAGCAAATTTTTCGCGAAGATCTGCATTTAATTTCCATTATCATTAACATCAGTGTGTTCAGTCAGTCATTCAGTTCTACTTCAGTGCCCCTCGGAGGAAAGCATTAACAATTTACCACCCAGCGTCCAACACCGCCAACACCGCCAACACCACCGCCATCATCATTCCAAAGACAAAATCGAGTTGTCCATATACATTTTTTGTGAGTAACTGCACATCGTATTGCAGCGATTCGAACATTGACTGACCACCAACAGCATCACCACGCAAACAGTGAAAACTGCAGGTTTCACTTAGCAGGCAACAACTTAGTCCAGTATTAAGTTGTTAGACGTACAATCAAGCAAAAGTGTTTTGAATTACAACGCCACCAAGCGCAATCCATCACTTGGGCGCAAGTGCATTATTATTAATTGCTTGTTCCAGCTACGTTTTTTGGAAAAATGAAAATTCTATCCAGAGTGTCTTTACTCCAACTTCTGTTAGTGTTTATTGTGAAATTCTCAGAAAATAACTTTGTAGAAGGCGCTGTGGGATTATATGGACCTGATCGTTATGAAGGTAAGTAATTCCAGTAAGAAACATCTAGAAATTTCAATTTTATATCTAAAAATGTAAGAGAAACTGACAATCTGTATATTGTTCTTTTCTAAAGAGTTATTCAATTTCGTATTTCGAATTTTTTAAACACACATTTTATTCTCTGTTCAAGGTCTGCCCGAATCATGTCTACTGCCCATGGATTTCGGTTACTGTCGTGCCAAATTACAACGTTACTACTTCGATATTCGACGCATGAAATGTACCATGTTCTATTGGGGCGGATGTGCCGGCAATGATAATAATTTCAAAACAATGGAGGAATGTAATGACTTCTGTTCGTCCGGCTATGAACAAAGCAACAATATTGTACCACTCAAAAGAGAACGTTCAGAAAATAATCCCAACTACAATGTCAATCAAAATACAAGGTCATCCAATTTCAACAGCCGAGGAAATATCGCTGGCTCTACATCGAAGTCTGTCGCACCGAAATTCACAATCAAAAGTTCTCCTGCACCCTCGTACAGGGATAATGTCAGTGTCAACAATGGCACGGCCAGGGCAAATGTAAAGACTTTTAATATTAATCCGCCACAAAAAGAGCTGAAATATCCAACGGCCACAGATGATTTGGAAGATGAGGAATATGATGAGTAACATGTTGTTCTTTAAAAAGATTATCTCAACAAATATTTATATGTATTTATATCATTAAAAAATAATAAATTATTGTATTTATACTAAACTAACTATTTATTAGTATAACAATTGTTTCATTTTTTTCTTCCGACCTTACCGATCATCATGAGTAAAGCAATTCATTCATAAAATAAGCAGAACGCAAGTCGCTCGCAGGTGGTCATTTCTAAATCAGGTTTTGAGGTAATCGCTTATACCCGTTATAAATAGTCATAGTCATATTGTTGTTTTTATTGAGACCAAACATGAATTGTTTAGAATAATTCACTACAGCATTACTCCTACTAATATTGCTCCATATAAAGTTGATAATGACATTCATGCAAAGTCGATGATGACTAGACTTGTTCAAGGTGAAATTATTAGCAACACAAAGCTGCAAAGCAATTTGCAAATACATGTAGAATTGTCGACTGTGTTATGCCCTATATTACAGAAATGTTTTAGTTATCGCCTGATTGATTTATGGTAATACTGTGAATAAATAATTCATTGGTATTTAAAAATTTATTGTTTCACATTTATGTATCCCATATAAGAAAATGACATACAATTTTAGATTATTTACAATCTATTAAGGAGACACGTTTCTCTGTGTATAGCTACATTTAAAGCCAATCCAACTCATCAAAAATTGGCGATTTTCCAAAAATATTTTTTCAAAATTTTGTTAAATTTAGAGTCAATACGTATTGAGAGCCAGTCATGTACTCTTTCTAACACCAAAATTTATTGCTTCAAAAATAATGACTTTTCTTTAATTATAAAAAACAACAACAAGACAAAAACAAAAATTTTTTGTAAATTATTTTTCTTCTCTTTTAAATTATCAAATATATATGTGCAAAGTTAGAAACCTTAACAAGCATTGGTATTGATTTACCAGCACATTGAAAATCTTGAAAAATTAAAATCGAGAATGGGTGGGGTTCCCTTAAGGGTTTTTATAATTAAAATACATATTTCTCGTTTTTTGGTGTAGCACTCTTAATTGGTATTGTCAGACTATAAAAATATTTTAAGTTTTTTTTTTACCTACTGTAATAAGGTGTAGCTTTACATTTTAGGAACTTGCTTGATACAGATAGAAAAAACATAATCATAATAGAAAAACATTTTCAACAAAGACTATTGTTATTTTATGCACATTGTGGAGGCTACGAACAAATCCCTAAATATTCTTTTCACAGCATCAACATAACTCATATAAAAAGCCTCGATCAGTTTGAAATGATGAACTTCACTGTGAGAGTATTACATTCGTATACTTTGTAATTACTTTTACATTCGGCTTCTTTCGATCGAAAAAAACAAGATATGCCGATTTCGATTGTTTTCTTTCGGTTCAGTGAATTGTTCATTTAAAAATTTCCAAATAAACCTAAAGACTTTTTTTAATTTTTTTTGTAAAAAGATCAGCGCTATCTTTGGGTAACATTTTTTAATGAATGTTGAAGCTTGGATTTTTTTTATGGCATACACTGATTTTACATAGTGATGAGCTCTGTCACGAAAAAATCAGGAATTTAGAAGCAAATAAGTGCAAAAATGTTCTGCATGCATTTCATTTGGCTGTAAATATTTATGTTTACTGTTAGATCGGATTCTCTGCAAATATGAAAATTATTAACAATACCGTGTTGTTAACTATATTGAAGACGCATTTATATACTATGTATTTTGTATATGTCAATTTTATTTACTTTTATAACTATTAATTAACTACAAAGTATTTTGTATAATTTTATTATTTATTTTTATAACTGTTAATTCACTACTTCCAAATATCTACTACATATAGAAGGCACGTAAAATCACCTGTAAGTACGTTGCTCATACATAAAATTCTTATATTGTCATGTTATTTGGGATTAGCTCTTTTCTACATGTTGATGGCAACTCATTTCAAATCACCTATTGCTGTTTTAACTTGCTTTTCTTCTTTGTGGTACAGGACATCAGCAATTTCATTATATACCATGAAATCATTATTAGTCCAATGAGGGTCGCCAATATAATACAAATAGAATCTAATGAATAATATATAAACCAATTCAAATCAACAGCATGTGTATGTAACATTTCACGCGCATTTTCATATTCCATTATATGTTCAACCCACCAGGTTGATATTTCTAAAGCCGTGTTGGGACGATTGCGAAATATTTTCGATAGTCCTTTGGCATTTTCTTCGTATCTGCAGAAGTACATATGTATTAGTTATGTTAAAATCATAGAATAAATTCAATTTTACCTTGAGTTTTGCAGCATTTCTTTTAGAATTTTATCTAAATTATTTTCATTTATATTTTCGAAATTCAAAATACGTCCAGCTTTTCGATTTTGTACAGCAAAACCATTTACAAATTGATCGCCATATATTGGAGTTATTATCATCGGTTTGCCACAATAAACGGCCTCTGTTGTTCCTAATAGTCCGCCATGACCCCAAAATAGTTTTACTTTCGGATGACCTGGAACATAAACATAATATCAGTTTAACCCAATTTGAAAGAATATACCACTTTTCGGAAATATATGAGTTATTTTGAAAAACTGTTGGAGACTGTTTGTCGAATGCTACTTAAGTTACATGAAGTCTTATAAATTAAATACGATGATGAAAATTTGAAATAAAATCGGATAATATAATAGCATGGTTTTTTTTTACAAATACAATAAAAAGATAGGAATATCTTGAAATTTTAGTTCTTTAGGAAATATATACATAAATAAAAAATGCTACCGTGTTATCACAATATCAGTGACTTTAATGTTAAGCTAAATATATTTAAATTGAAATCTGAATAAATATGTTGTATTTGTTTTGTAATACTTACACAGTAGTGCTAATTGTGGCGCCCATTTAACAAAAAGAAAATTATTACTTTTTATTGGAACATCATCGGTTTCCCATTTCCAAATGACCTTTAAATTATTTTTCTGCAAAACAGTCAATATCGCATTTAGCTTAGTCGAATCCATAGTAGATGCACGAATCATAGAACCCCAACTAATGAAAATAACATTTTCGCCAGTGGACTTTTCCAAGAATTTTTCAATTGGCGCCGGTAGCTTCTCATTGACTTTATTCTCCTGAATATGAATGCCTCCAATTTCAAGAAACTGTTCCGAATGCGGACGTATGCCAGTCAATGAATAGTGTTGATTTCCAAATATAATTGCGGTCTGTTGCTTTGCTATGTCGTTGACATCAACGGTCACATTCAGATGATGGCGTATTAATTCATTATCAAGATGATTAGTATGGAAACTAGAATATACATACAAATGAAATATATTGATTATTAGTATTTGTTTGTTTCCCTACCCCCCAAGGCCTGCCGCTCAACAATCACATGTAATCACTTACCGATAAAGTAGCGATAAGACTTTAGCTTGTAAAAAGTTTGTTAGTCTTTCGTGCCAATTGAGAGGTGTAGCGAATCCAATAAATTCTGATTGTACAAATGATGGGGTGTCTGGCAGCAGTATACGTTCATAATACCAGGGCATCAAGAGACAACTACTCAAGCCAACAATTGGCGTTTTCATGAGATAGGGAACAACCAACTGACAATCTGAGTTGAAGTATTCGGTGATAACAATGTCGTATGGTTTCTTTTCATGGCGTTGCAGCACTTCCTGAATATAACCACTGTCATACAGACGCTCACAAGATTCCTGGCCCTCTACATGAAGACCCACATATTCATCGATGAGACCTTTCCACGTCCGTGGCATCCACTCAGTCAAGGGTACAACATTAATCACCTCCACTTGTTCCAACAGGAGTTCCTGGTATGTTGTCAAAGGCGGATCAGGACTTTTGATGTATGTAATGACCGTTACATTGTGACCTCTTTCGGCTAAGTTGCGTAGTAACGGATAGAACACTTTGAAATGGCTATAACCAAAGTGTGGAAATATTCCCAAAATTTCTCTACTCTCATTGGGTACAACTAATAGGAAACAAAACAGGTATATGAACTTAATGGCGTAACACATTCTGTCGAACGAACTATCTTAACCTACGACCACAACTACTCACATTTCGCGGCTAGAAGTCAATAATAACAAATGTTAATTAATCAGTCGACTGAGACTGTGGAGCCACCTATCCGCTGTATCTTATCGCCGTCCAATTGGCGTGTTTCTAATATACGTGGAATCACATCCATTAGCATAACATATCGGGCGTACAATTTCCGTGCTTTGTACCAGTAGATGGCGTTGTTTTTAAATATATAAATTTATTTTCAGAATTATTTCATAACACAATAATTGTTTTCAATTTTTACTGTGCTTTGTGTTTATTGAAGGTAAAGCCAATTTAAAAAGTATCAAATTAACAATACAATTCAATTTGTGTTGTGTTATCAGTTACTTTAGCATAACAATTTTTCGATTATATAGGGCTCCAAAAATCTACGCTATTTAGAATATTTTTGTTTTGATAAGTGAGTGACAAATGGAAAAGCTAATTAACATTATCGAACATCGAACTATGACTCGTGTTGTTTGCCAAACTTTGTTTAAATATTGTACACACTACCATTTCTTACCCCAAGTTATGTTATTACGTTGTAAACATGCATGACACAACCAATCGATATCATATCGACACCAAGCCGATTACGCGATTTTCTCGCAAACACCACAATCGATTAGTCCGTAGTCGTCGACTCACGTATCCCTTGGCGTGGTTTTACATTTATCGGGATCGGTGTTGAGAGTTTCTCTCTCTCTCAGTGGTAAATTGTGAATTGTGTTGGACAACATTACCACAGGTAGGAACAAAAACGTACGAAAAGGTACCTAAAATTCTACTTCAAATGATAATAAATCATAATAATCGAGAAATATTGGCCAATATTTACACCAGTTATTTGTAAATGTATTCACGAGTAATAAAAAATTCTAATTTTTGTTTTGGTACGTTTATGTCAATTCGTACCTTTTGTGAACAAAAAGTACGCTTGTTACAAAATTAAAAATAGCGCAACTCTAATTACTCTCTCAAGAGAGAGAAACTCTCAACACCGATCCCGATAAATGTAAAACCACGCTTAAAAACAACACGGTTTCCATGTAGTCTCCATCCCACCTCATTCGTAACTTTCGTTTATACCATTTTGGATTCATCTTTATCGGCCGTTTTGTCTTCTCCTCCCATTCGTTAGCAGCTGGAACGTTTTTTAATTTTTCTTCAGTCGCTGAGTCGTTGCTGTCAGAGAAAAATCGCCATGTTTGTGACGCGTTGAAATAGAATTGCAAAAATAAAAAATAATATAATTAACTAATTAATTGCAAATAGCGAATAAAGAAATGATACAAAGTAAGACTAAAATGTGCACCACCGTTTTTCAATATGTAGAACGAAGTGTAGAGCAATTGTAAAGTCGAGGAAAAACAAAGAATTGTGACGCAGAAGAAAAGAATGTAATACAAAGAAAAAAGTGGAAATATTTTTAAATTAGCCAAAAAACAAATGTAAGGAACAGAATCGGCTGAAGCAATTTCCAGTGAAAGGCAAAAGAGAAAATATATCGGTCATAAATTGCGCGCTATAGCTAAAATACGCCGACCCGAGACAGAGGCGGTCAAAATAAAATCGATTTTTTATTCTTTGTCGGTCGCTGCTAGCTTACATTTGGTATAACTTATAACCAACTAACTTACCAACAAGCCTGCCTGTCAGCCAGCCAGCCAAAGAGGTTGTGTTGTGTGTGTTGACTCTTTTACTACGTGCCGAAAACGTCGTAGGGAAGAAGTGGCGCGCAATGTCGAATATTGTGGAAACTCAGGTGACGTCGTCAACGTCGCAGCAGCAAAAGCAACAACAGCCACAGTCCATGAGCGATGGAAAAGGGGAGAAGCAGCAACAACAGCAGCCAACATTTAAACAAACAACAAAAGCATCGGAGTCAACGACGACGACTATCAAAACAAATATTGAACAATTTGCCGGTGGTAAAGATTTAAAACCAGCTGATGCTGGAGTTCATCGAGGAGGAGATGGTAGCTGTGATATAAATTCACAAAAAATACCCAGCGAAGGAGGTATAGGAGATCAAGTGACACATATATCCAAAGAACAGCTAACAGATTTAAAAGCGAATAAATCGTCAACGGCAGCATCTATCGATCACAATACCTCGTCAAAGGAACGCAGCAGTGGTGATAAAGGTAGGAACAATTTAGAATACGAACCATCAGATTCACTGATTCAATACTTTCGAATCATTCCAGATAAATCGCACAAGAAGAAGAAAAAAGAAAAGGACCGGGATCGTGATCGCGATAGAGACAGGGATCGAGAACGGGAACGAGATCGAGAGCGTGATAAAGATGGCCACAAAAAGTCGAAGGATAAAAGCGATCGCGACAAATCACATAGCACCCATGGGAGGGGAAAATCTTCGAAAAGCTCTTCTGATCGAAGTAATTCTTCAAAGTCGAAATCTCATTCCTCAAGTGATCATCACAGGGACACACATTCTAGTAGTGGCAAATCAAAAACCAAAACAAGTGGCAGCAGTAGTGCACCATCTTCTACTAAGGAATCACCTTTGGATAAGGATAAAGTACAAACATTTTCCTAATTTAAAAATAACAATTAACTACAGCCTTTTTTTAATTTCTAGGTTGCTCCATTGTCATCAACCTCGACGTCTGAGGCCAGTAGCCGTAGAAGAAGTTCCGAAAGCAGTAGATGTAGCCAAAGCAGTGGAATTAAATTAAATTGCTTAAATATCATGAATGAAGGTGAACAGGAAAAAGCAAAACCCATAGAACAAGGTACACCGTTAACGAATCACATTGAAACACTTGATTCCAAGAAATCTTCAAATATCATAAAAGAAGATATGGCCATTGTATCCGATAACTCCTTAAGGAGCAGTGAAGAGGAAATAAAGAAAACAGAAAAGGAATCAAGCAATGTAAAGGAGAGTGAAGTTCCCAAAAAAGTGAACGAGAACATTGTTGCAGTTAAAATCGAATATGAACAACAAAATTCTGAAGCACCTTCTGCAACCGTCGACAAGAATGCCTCTTCAATTGCAATTAAGGAGGAAATCAAACAATATATCGAAGACAAAACGAGAACCAGTAAAACACCAAATGAAGTCTCCAGACAATTAAATTTCAATAATGTCGAGGTAACAAAGACGGATGAAAATTGTTTAGCGATGGATGTAAAAAGCGAGATAACAAATGTCGATATACAGATTAAAAAAGAAAAATCGGCAACAGTTGCAAGTGCAGTGGAAAATTCTGAATCAATTGAAGAGCCCCAGTCGACAGGAGAATCGCTTATACCAAAACAAGATATAAGTCAAAAAACACCTGTCAAAGCTGAACCATTGCCAAAACTTACAGAAAATCAAATAAAAATGGAATGTCTTATGATGCCCTCTCCAGCTGACAAAACTTCTTCGGCGGTAACATCAACTGTGCCGCATTCAAATGCAAGCTCAAGTCATCAAAACACAGCATCATCATCTGTTATTCATAACCAAAGTGTGCAACATCAAACTCATTCCTCCACTCCTTCAGGCAGTTGTAGCACAGTACTGGGGTCGTCCACTTCGTCGTCATCAAAATCGGCTACATCTTCGAGAAGATCTTCATCTGGTAGCAGTTCTCACACACATCACCATCACAACCACAAATCCTCATCGTCTTCGTCGTCTAATAAACACAGCTCTTCGTCATCATCTTCGACTAATAATTCATCGTCGCGTAGTAGTCGTGAATGCTCCAGGTGTTACAAACGCTCAAAAATTAGACGTACCAGTGTTGGAACGCAATATGTACCGGCACCACCCCAGCCTAATGTTTCACGTACCAGTCGCAACAATAATCGTGTACCACCGGGTCTTGAGCACTTAAAATATGGCCAGTACTTCGAGGTAGAAGTTTATCCGAATGGTGGTGCCTCCGTTGTGCATCTATACCAGGATGAAATTAAAGATCTTCCTCCCCACGAAATGGACGAACTAGTGGATGAGTTCTTCGAAGTTTGCTTCGCAGAAGATGAAGAAGGTTATGCCCATCATGTCATGGGAATTGTGCACGATGCGGCGAGATACTTGCCGGATTTATTACAACATATGGCAGAAAATTATTCAACTCTTACAGTAAAGGCTGGTGTCCTAGGAAGGAATTCAGACATTGAAACATGTACAATGGCACAGTACTATGAACAGGTAAGTTCAATCTTGTGAGAATTATAACATAAATTGTTTCAATTGAAGAGATTTTTGTGAACGGATTGTAATCAACATAATTTTTCAGGTTGTTCGAAATTATTCCCAAGGAACATTTCGTTATGGACCTCTACATCAAATTAGTTTGGTGGGCAAAGTACATGAAGAAGTCGGTGGTTATTTTCCCGATTTATTGGGGAGAATAGAACAAAATCCTTTCTTAAAGAAGGTAAAACTTTTATTTACAAAACTTATGAAAAAAGTGCAAATTAAATAAAATCCATGATTTCAGACTATGCCTTGGGGACCCTATTCAATATTGCAAACCGACCCTCGATTATCTAACGATGGTCCAATTTTATGGATACGATCTGGTGAACAATTGGTGCCTACAGCTGAGCTGAATAGCAAAACCCCTTTGAAACGTCAGAGGTAAACGATAGCGCGTTTATATGAGATGAAATCATGAATTTTGTATGTACACTTTTTACAGGACACGGATCAATGAATTACGAAACTTACAATATTTACCACGTCTATCAGAGGCTCGTGAAACAATGATAGAAGATCGTACTAAGGCACACGCGGATCATGTAGGCCACGGCCATGAACGTATAACAACAGCAGCTGTTGGTAAGTTAGAATCCGCCTAATTCATCATTGTATTATTTGTTAATACTCTCTTCAACATTTAACACATTTTTAGGCATTCTTAAAGCAGTCCATGGAGGTGAATCGTATACACAAAATCGCATTACCAAAGATGTGGTAGCATTTGCAGCTCAAGATTTCAATCAACTGGTGGGAACACTCCAGTTGGATTTACACGAACCACCAATTTCGCAATGTGTCCAGTGGATTGAGGATGCCAAATTAAATCAGCTACGACGCGATGGTATACGTTATGCTCGCATCAAATTATGTGATAACGATATATATTTTTTACCGCGAAATATTATACACCAGTTTCGCACGGTGACGGCTGTGACCAGTGTTGGTAAATAAATATTAAGTTGCTTGTTAGATTTTGTAACCTGAAACATACTCTCCTTCCTTTTTATTTGCAGCTTGGCACTTGAGATTACGTCAGTATTATCCTGGCCAGGAGGTAATTAACGAAAAGAATAATCCAGTATTGGCAGAGCCACCACAATACAAAGAAAAACAGACAATTCTACCGAATCCCATTTCTCACGATGATGTCCACACTAAGAAGACACCATGCAAACGTAACCATGAGGGGAAAGCTAAAAAATCTGAAACAAAGAAGCTTATTGACATGGAAAGTCGTAGTCGTTTGTCCAGTGAGAGTGGTACCGACGATTCTACAGCAGCTGTGAAAGATGATCCGGAAACTCCCACAAAAAAGAAACAATCAGCAAAAGATGAACCCAAAATCGATATGCGCAAAATGGTAATTGAACACAATATGATAAATAAAGTTGTTGCAACAGTGGCTTCATCACCCAATAAGGCAGAAAAGCCGAAGAAAGCTAAGTCAAGTGATGGTGAATACCCGAAAGAGAAAAAGGAAAAACGTAAACATAAGGATGACAGTAGTGCATCAAAATCGAATAAATCATCTTCGCTGACTCCCAAGAAGCCCAAAGCTTCGTCCGCCGATATAGTAGTAAGCAGTGAAACAATCTCAACAAAAACACTATCCACCACTAACACGGTGCCGCTGACAAATTCCAGTAACTTACCCAGTAATAAGGTTAAACTTCCAGAACCAATAGTGCCTGCATTACCTATGCCTCTAGTACCTCCCACGCCGTTTACACACCGAGAAGCTTATGTGAATAGCCTAAATCAAAAAGAACCAGAAATAAAAATACAAGTACAAATAGTATCCGATGAACCTCCTCCATCATCATCATCATCATCAGTTCCCACATCAACACCATCAACTCATTTAAGCAGCTTTCAACCTCCTCCACCCGCCACTAGCGTATCATCATCTCCCCAATTACCGAATGTTGTATCTACTACTACCTCCACCACGATTCAAGTCACTACTATAACATCCCCTCCATCGCCCACACCTGCTCCTCCAAATAATATAATACGCGTCGAAGAAGCCCTTATACCCCCTCACGCAACTGGAAACATAGCTGACGATATAATTTTATCACAACCGCAATTGGTAGTTGACCACGAGGAAGAAGTGATCATATCAGAGGAAATTGAAACCACCACAGCGCCAATGACAACGGTAGTGGCGTGTCCCAATCAAACCTATCCGCCATTACCGCCCTTACCTCCCTTGCCGCCACTTCCACCACCGCCTCCCATACAAACCCCACAGCCACCACCACCTCCTCCCCCAGTAAACAATAACGATTCAAAAGCCATTAAGACAACCAAAGTTTCAACATCAAGTAGTTCTTCATCAGGCACTCCTTCGAAATCTCATAAAAGTTGTTCAAAGGTATCCTCGAGCAAGCACAATAAATCTTCGGCGGATCTCATAAGCTCCATATTGGCCTGCATGGATAATCGAACTACTAGCAGTTCAACAAACACTAACAGTTCATCAAGTAGCGGCAGTACTTCTTCATCGTCGTCGTCGTCCATACCTTATACATCTTCCATGCATTGAGTTGCCATCATTACTCAGCCCCAAAGAATGAAGGACGCGTTTAGAATTGTATATATTGGGAGGACAATGGTTTGAACTTTTGTGGACATAAAGCATCCCAATGAAAAGGAAATTTATATATTTAAATAAGATTGGGATTAGTTGTTACTCGTTACAGATGAATCACTAGTTTAGCTGTGACCTATTCGTTTTTTTCACTTTCACTGGGAAATTTAACCTAAGAATGATATAAAGGTTACCTTCTCAAATTAGCTAAACTAGAACAGTTCCCGTATTCCTGTGTTTTCCTCAAACCGTAAATATTTTTTTGTAGTTTTACTGTTTATAGAATTGTGTATGTACATAAATATATATTTTAGACATGTTGTATTTTATCTCCAGCTAATGCTGCATTAACATCATCCTAATCAGTGTCTTCTCCAACTATCAAAAATTGTTGATATTTATTTTATGGTATTTACGTTGGAGGATAAACCACGCATATATTAACTAAACTCTTTTTATTTATTGATAACACATTTCCTTTTTGAAATATATATTTAATATAACATTAGATCTTTTACACAAATAAGGCTTCCCTAATTGTAATCTAACAATCCTTTCCTTTGATATCATCTGCTCCAACGTGATTTGTTTTCAAACGACTCACCTATACACACATAAGCCAAGCTAGCTTACATATATTATCATGGCACATCTCTTTTTAATATTTGTTACAATTTTGTATAACAATGTACACTTATATAATTATAGTATATTAGGTCCATAAAGTTATAAACACAGTATACATACGTTATATATTTATATGGTTCAGAAATCAGTTAGCCAACCGCTTGTTGTCTATGTGTGGGTGCAGCCATCCACTGCTTATTGTGTTGGACTATTTTTTTATTATTTTAAACACATTTAGGCATACCATGCACTATACAGAAACAGACGGAAAAAAAAATCAGCCAACAAAACAAACTCAAATTAAATTTTTACCATTTACCAAGATTAAAAAAATGAATAGCAGAATGAGTAAATATGTAAGAGAATGCATATTACAAACAAAAGCAAGTAAAGAATATATGAAACACACAACACATATATAAATATATATATTATATCTCACCTATTGGGACAAGAAGAAACAGAAGTGAGAATTGAACGGCATAGCGTATAAATACATAAAAAAACATATTTAAGATGTAGTCTAAGACCATAAATAAAATAATCATAATGTAGTTGTAAATTTGCATCTTTTATTTGACAAATGGGGGATGAGTGGTGTTTGTAAATTTGCGAATTAAGGGGATTGAGACCGCTATTGAAAACTGAAAAAGATAGTGGTTTCAAAAAATTATATTCGTTGTTTACATTGTGTAAAAAATAGGGCTGCTACATCAACAACGTCATTTATAAAAATGTTTAATTCAAGAATTTTTTATTAGGCCAAATGAGATGCATAAATTATATTTATACACATTAAACACAACAGTTCCAAATTATGTGGAGCCACATTAATGTTGAACAGGGAAGTATAAAAACGTAAAGCTTCAGTAAATTTTATTAAAGACGAGCCTGATGACTACTTTAGTATGTATCTTTTTAATCGCCTATAAAAATGCATAATAATTATCGAGTTTAATTTCTTTTGCCCACACTCATACATCTATACGTCGATTTACAGGCAGGCATTACAAATAAACCTTTACTGATAAGAATATTAGAGTAGGACAGCAGTTCAATTGCGGTAACCCGAACAACAATCAGAATAAATTTATAGTTTTTCGATTTGATGTAACAGTTAAAAATAAAATAGAAAACAGTCGCAAATATGTTCTACAATATACACAAAGTTTATTTAATAAAATTAAAATGGAATATAAAAATCTCTTACAATTATAAAATACATACAATCACCTCGTACTCATTTATCTTAATATTCATATATGGGCTATATACGAATATTAAATAACATTTACAAAATACAAATAAAAAACAATAACAAAATATTTACAATTTTGCGCGCAAAGTTTCGAAACGGTTTTGGGCAGCAGTTTGAATGTTCATCAGTTTCATGGCTACACCCATGTTACCTTGGATTTTAATTTTGCCCTGGAAGAAAGCCTTTTGAGGTGGCAAATTGCCAGTCATCAATTCGGTAACATCCTCATCGGAAATAATGAATGTAACGTCACATTTGTCCTTGCCATTGTAGGTGATTTTACCTTTGCCTTCCTTGGCATTGATAACCCAGAAGCCAGTTTTGCCATCGGGACCATTGGTTACCTTGAAGCCATAAATAGCACGGGCCTTTTCAATTAAGTTTTCTGTGTCTTTTTGCATCTCCTCTTCCAACAATTTCAAGAGTGGTGTAACCTTGAAGCCCTCACCAGTGGGGTGTGTAGCAGCAGAAGTCAAGTTATTAACGACACCAGCAGCTTTTGGGAAACCCAAGCGGTAGAGGGTGACAACTACAGCTCCGCCCAAACCCAAATTGTGTTGCAAAGCCAATTTGACATCCTTAACTTGACGTTTTTCAGCCAAACCACGCAATTGCCAGCACAATTCGGCACATTGAGCCAAACCAGTAGCACCCAAAGGATGACCCTTAGAAATTAGACCACCACTGGGATTGATAACGTATTTACCACCATAGGTATTGTCACCGCGGTCAATGAGTTCACCAGCTCCACCTTCGGGGCAAAGACCCAAGGCTTCGTAGGTAATCAATTCGTTGGCGGAGAAGCAATCGTGCAATTCAACAACCTGAACATCGGTGGGCTTGTAGCCAGACTTGGCGAACAAACGTTGAGCAGCCATTTTGGTCATGTCATAACCGGCAATTTTCATGAGCGACTTGTCCTTGAATGTGGATTCAGGATCCGAGGCCATTTCCATGCCAACAATTTCAACAGCTTGGTTTTCCAAACCGAAACGATGAACGTAGGCTTCAGAAACCAAAATTGCAGCACCAGCACCATCTGAGGTGGGGCAGCATTGCAATTTGGTGAGAATACCCTCGACCACAACAGGTGATTGCATAATTTGTTCCAAGGAGTATTCATCGCGGAATTGAGAGTAACTGGAAAGGATAAAACATAAATAAATATAAATTGTATTCGATTAACGGCTAATCTATAAAATATGTATTATTGCACTAATGGATTAGTCTTTGTGTTTTTTGATAAGATAAGTCAAAAATGATATGAATACAGATTGATCTTTGTTACCACTTCATGTGGAATTTGTATTGCTATATATAAAAAGGGCAAAGATACTCACGGATTGTTGACAGAGTGCTTGTGGTTTTTCCAGGCAATTTTGCCGAAATGTTCGGGCTTGGTTCCATATTTCTTCATATGTTCCTTGCCAGCATTACCGAAGATTTGAGCTGCCATTGGTCCAGGTCCAATTTCAGCCAATTCAGACATTTCACTAATGTGACGTTCCATAGGATTAGCACGATCGAAGTACTGAAAACATATACAAATATATTTTTGTTAACGTTTTATGTTATAGTCAATGACAATTCATAATAATTAATTATGGTCCTGGTTCATAACGGGTACAAGTCCTTATCATTTTTCGACCTTTGGACGATCACACTTGCTTTATATATATATATATATATATATATAATTATATGTAGCTATGTAATGTTTTAATTATATATTTTTTTACATATCAACGTTGTTTATTATATATATTCGAGATAATTTGTGTTCATACCTTAGCGGACAAGGAGCCACGTTCCATTTTCTCGAAACCAAAAGCCAAAACGCAATCAGCATTTCCTGATTCAATAATTTGTTTGGCCAAGTACAAGGCACTGGAACCAGTGGAACAATTGTTGTTAACATTGAACACAGGAATGCCGGTCATACCAACTTCATACAAGGCACGTTGACCAGAGGTGGAGTCACCATAGACATAACCAACGGTAGCTTGTTGCACTTCATTGTATGAGATTTTGGCATCAGCTAAAGCCTTGGTAATGGCTTCCTTGGCAAAATCGGGATAATCGACATCAGCACGGCGACCAGGTTTTTCAAACTAAAAAAAATTAAAAATGTTTTGTTACTCTTTGTACAGGTGTATTTTTAATATTTCAATATTCAAAAGCGATATTGAACATTGACCCATGGCACTACTGAAATCACAATCATGTTCAGATAAAGTTAATCGGTAGTTGTAGATTAAATGCTTGTACATAGTATATGCAATGCAGTAATATTTTTTAATATCTCAATTCATACTGTATACACAGTGAGGAGTCAAATACAAAGGAGCTGATCCCAGCTATTGCTAATGGGTGTGACCCCTGGGCATTGGGGAACCTCTTTACAAACATCAAAATCAAAACAACAACTCCATACGAACAATTTTTGTAAATATCAAGCACAGATCAAAGTTCAACAGAGTTGTTGTACTTTCAAATCTTGGATTCTGGTAACTTAGTACGATGAAAATGGTTTCTAGCGCCTTACCTTGGTCATACCAACACCAACAACATAAACACGGGTTTTGGCCATATTGCTTTTAATTTTGGTAATAAACTTTTTCTAATTGTCGAATGTATTGAGGAATGTCACTTGTCCAGCGGTGCCTTGTTGAATGTGGAACTCTCTGCGCAAACGAGACAAAGGTCCACAATTTATATTTTGTACTAGGGATAGATAAGCCGATAAGATGTATAGAGTTATATCATTCCGTTCTATTAGAATGATTAGTTCGAAATGAAGGTTTGAAATAAAATTAACGATTGAGGTACATGTTAATTTAAATGACACATGAACACAGATTTGCCTACGCAATATTGAGAATTATTTTTTTCACTAACTATTCCTAATCGAAAGTTGTTAAATTTGGCCGAGTAAAAATGGTAAACAGGAATGCCTACTTCTGATTGGCTGTTGCGCTGATTTTGAAGTATTTCCATTTAATTTTGACATTTTTATTAGTTTTCCGTTCCAGAACATTTCGTATGATTTTAAACTCTGATAGCGATTTTGACATTTTTCCATTTTTCTGGAACAGAACAATAGTCCCAATTCCTATGCTTATGCAGAATGCTCGCGTTGAGCCGTCCGTCGCGTTATATGTTATCGAAAATACAACAACCACAAGGAAACGATATGCGATTGTGTTATCGTTTCCTTGTGGTTGTTGTATTTTCGATAACATATAACGCGACGGATGGCTCAACGCGAGCATTCTGCTTAGCCCTTAACTCCGAAGTGCTATGCACATCAACTTCAAGCGATTTTCGATAACAAATAACATTTTTGCTTTACTATGATGCTACGGGCACACAAAAGAAAAGTAGTCAGTAAAAAAACATATAAAGTAAATCACTGACATAACGGGTGTTTTCTACAGTACTACCGACATGTTTCATTTAAATGACGCTAGCGATAAATAAATGAAAATTGTGAGTTCTGGCATTAATTTTGTGAAGGGCGTTTTTTGTTATCGCGTTAACGCACGCAAAAAGTTAAAATATATTTAACTCCGAAGCGCAGCGCACATCAACTTCGGTTGTTTTTGTTATCGTTTCCTTGTGGTTGTTGTATTTTCGCTAACACATAACGCAACGGATGGCTCAACGCGAGCATTCTGCTTAGCCCTTGAGTGTTACAGTATCGAATATCTAAATTGATATCCAAAGAAAATTTACAAATCGACTTGAACATTGCAACGGGAATTGGATCGATATGGAAGTTTTCGACAGAGGTATGTAAAAACTATTTCTGAAATATCCATATCACTTCTTCTCATAAACTAATAAATATCCATTTATTAGTTTAAGACCACCATAGTAGTTTGCTATTTTATTTATCATTTTCTTCCGTGACTTCTATAAATGAAATAAGTGATTATTAGTATGTTCCCGTAATGCAAGAATCTACTACTTTTTACTAATATAACGAATTTTCCTTTATGTTATAGAAGAAAATAGTAAATCGAGTAGATTCTTGCAGTACGGGAACAAAACAAATGATAAATACAATTAATTTAGCAAACTAAAACAAAAATAAAATTGTTTATTTATTTTATTAACTAATTATTATAAAAAATATATATAAACTAAAAAAATGTTCTACAAACTATATTAACAAAATTCGTATACTGAATTAAAAATAGTGGTTTCTCAAAAACAATTTTTCTTTGTACTGGATTAAATTTTAGTAAAAACTTCCAACAATGTGTGGGTCGTTCTGATTTAATTTTCAAATTCTCCAATTTGGCACGAAAACATTTCACCTTCCATTAAATGTGAGTGGGAGTTATCACAACAATTCCACATATACATAATTTTGTATATACGAAGAAGTCTAGTTCAAAATTTAATTAGATTTAACTTTTGTCGTGGCCTTATTACGTTTGGCATTTTTAATTTTGCGCATCAATAGTCCCCATGTTACCGCCGAAGTAAAACCAACCAAACCCAAGACGGTATAAATATCCAGGGAGTAGTAGACAAACCGAGACATATAGGTTGAGCTAGACTTCAATAAGGGAGCTCCTTCTGTATTGGCCACATATTCCACCCACCAAATGGCTGTATCCAAGGCTGTGTTTGGTCGATGCTTGTAAGCATATGAGATCATTTTGGCATTGTCGAAGTATCTAAACACACAAATACATACATAAGTTAATATGCAATTTGATTAAATATACGTTTTGAAGACTTACTGTTTTTCAAGAACCTTTTTAATAGATTTGAGGACGGTATTTTCATCGATATCTTCATAGTTCAGAACTACACCCATGCCACGTTGTTTCATTGCGGCTGCATTGAGGAACTGATCACCGTACATTGGTGTTGCTACAACTGGAACACCACAATATGCTGCCTCCGAGCTACCCATGAGACCTGCATGTGTCATGAATACTTTCACATTTGGATGACAAAGAATATCTCTCTGCGGAAGCCATTTGCTAATATACATATTATCTGGCTTATTGGCTAATGTTTCGTTTTCCCATTTCCAAATGACACGCTGCTTTAGGCGTTTAGCTGCCCTAACGATGGCGTCACGTTTGGCTACGGGTAACGTTTCTGCTTTGATCATTGAACCCCAGCTTATGAATACCACCCCATTATCGGCATTATCCAAAAACTTTTGTAGGTCAACATCGAGCGGTTTAGCCTTTTGAATGTGCACTCCTCCCAACTCTATTACCGAGGGTGGCAATGGTTTAGCACCACTTAGCGAAAAGTGCTGATTGACAAACATTAAAGATGTTTCTTTCACCAATTCACCGACCGAAGGCATATCATGACCGAATTTATATTGTACCAATGAATCAGTTGCCGGTATGGTAAACAACTTGTACATAGCATTCATCGCATGGAAGGTAATCCAGTTTGCTAGACGCCCACCCAAAGTCATATCTTCGGATTGTCCCAAGAACAGTGCCGGTATATATGATGGTATGATTGGCATACCCATGCGTTCATAATGCCATGGCATCATAGCACAACTGCTGAGACCAATTACGGGGGCTTGTAACATGTGTGCCACACCCATCATACAGTCCGAGTTGAACTGTTCCAGCAATATAACATCGTAGCGTACCTTTTGACGCATTACTTTGTAGAGGGCTTCCGATCGAAGAGTATGATTGCATGCATCCTTTCCCCATTCGTAGAGCATAAAGAATTCCAAGAAATGATTATAGAAGCGTCTATTTTCAAATACCTGGGTGAAGAAAGAAAAACAGGAAGTTGTAAGTCATTGATTATGTTGATAAGTTAGTTAGCTGTATGAAAAAAAATGAGATAAGAGGAGCAATCAAAACCATGTCATGGTTGTCCCATGATTTCAATGTTGTACTTATTAATTACCATTGAGAAATATGTGGTGAGCTACATTTAAGTAAATTAATTTAAAAACATTCTTAAATCAACTGAGTTTTCTTATCACCCCCCACTGATTTGAGTTCACAATCATTGAGATTACTTTATAAAAGTCAATAATATTAAAAAAGTTAGTAAAAAAATATATTAATCTATGTTAAAATGTTGAATTGGCTGGGTCGGACATGGGGTTATTTGGCTGCTTAAACTGAACCAAGACATATTTATGTATAAAGTGGAGGTTTACATGTATGTGTTTAATATACATATTATAATTTATAACTTTCAAAACTAAAAACCATATTTTAATACACGAGAACAATTTGTTGACATCAAAGGGTTTATAGAATGATTTGAAATTCTAAACAGATGTCTGAACCGATTCAATGACTATCGCTGAATGCTAATTATGTAGTATAGGAATGAAAGCAATAATAATTTCAAAATGCATTGAAGAATAAAATTAATGTTGACAGTATTTAGAATAATGTACATATATCTACATCTGTAACATATGATGTCAAAGTACTGAAACTAAACAATAAATTGACACGAATGTTACTTTGTAATAGAATAAATTGGGTTTCATAATATCACATAACATAAATTCCCATAACATACGTTTAGCAATCAACACAACTATTTCAATATAGGCTTTCACTTTTCTATGGAAATTTAATATTTATATTATTTTCTATATTTTATCGCGAATAAAGTACACACATTATTGTAATTGATTTTGATTGCTTTGTCTTATGGATTGACACAAATAACAACAATAGAAATGCAACAAACTTACCTTCAAATCCACACTATTCGATAATGTTTCCTTTCCCGTCAACGGTATGTCGGTATAACCCACTGGTGGACTTTTGTCAGGAAAGTGACTTACAACTGTGACATCATGCCCCCTTTCCGCTAGACCTCTTAATATCGGATGAAAGAAGTGAAAGTGACTCACGCCGGGATGTGGAAATAAACCCAAAATTTTCAAATTATGACGTCTTCCATCTACCGGCATTGGTAGTGGACCAGCTACAGCGAGTAGAGCTGCAATCCATATTAGAGCAACGGCAGCCATCTGGTATGGTCTATGGTGTCTGATCGATTAGTGGCAGTGCATTAAACTGAAATGATTTAAAAATTGCTTTATAGCGGTATTTGGCGATTTTTGTTTGTTTGTGTTCATATAGAGATATTTTGATTTTTGCAAAGTCATCATCTGATTATACATAGCATGTGAGTAAAACGTGTTGCTACTCGGTCCCATTACATAGCAAGTCGTATATTGTTGTTTTTTTTTGATAAAGTGACCAGATGTTGTTGGGTTTTACACTCTTAAATTAGTTATTGCTAATATTCACCACTTCACAAATGCGATCGACATACACCTTATCATTTTTCAGTTAGTTTGAGTATTTTTGTTTGTCATCATTCATTTCAAGCCGAATAAATAAATTACTTTAAGACAAATTATATTAATTTTTATCTTCTGATTATTACTTTGATACCCCAAATGGTAAATATAAGAATTTTAAACGTAGATGTAGAATTGTTTGATTACAAATAATTTTTTACTTTTAATGATTACAAATGATTACACGATTACTAGCTCGCATACAAACCATACCACAAGTATTTGCTTGCTCAACGGAAATCTACTTTTGGAAACAGAATTCAGGAAAACATGTAAAACATTTTGATTAGAACTGAATTTCACGCCATGGCTATATTTAG